CATGCTTTTAATTTCCCTTTTAAAAATGATAGTGTTATTGATAACATTTTGTTGTACAGTAAAAAATCTGTCTGTATTTTCTCACTGAAAGAGGTCAAAATGGATTGTGCTAATCACATGGTGTATAAAAACCAGGCTCAATCAAAAAACCTGAATTCACAGTGTGATTTATTTTACTCAGCTACATTCCAAAGTAATGCACAGATTAGGTAACAAAAATGATTCCTTGATCAATAGCTAATAAAAATGATTCACTGAATGATCAGTGAAATCTGAAATCAAAATTTGTATTAAAAAAAGCCCCATAAAAATTATGTAGACAGTCAGCTTTGACAAGTGCTCACTTACAGAGTTTTCCATAACTGAGTACATACTTTTTTGCAATATGTGTGATAGTGCCAAAAAGGGGTAGTCCTTTTTCACTGCCTTATCTGAAACAAACCTATTTTAAAAATTATGAAGAGACACATTCTCACTACATGAGACTACTACTTTCATGTAGTTCATTTTCCCTTTAGCTGGCATCCAGGCTGCTGTTAAGGACAGACTTCCTAGCAAAGGAAATGGCATCCTGCTGTGCCTTTCATGATGGATGCTGTACAGTTACCAATCGGTAAACCAGAGCTGACACTACTAAATATTTTATAGAAGCTTCTAAAAAATGGAGGCTGTTATAGTTTCTAGAGTCAGTGTGACTGAGATCTAAGTGATTAACTCCAGGACATTTCTACAACCATCCTTTTCCTTTTGTGATTATCTCATTAACAGGCATTCTAAATTACCTAAAATCCTATTAAAATCAAAAAGAAATAGAAAGTATATGCCTGTCACTGACTGTGTAATACTGCTGAATTTCCAGAAAAGCCTGATGATGAGTTGCTCTATGGAGCAACAATCCTACTTCTATGGAGTGACTAATGGAAAGATAAAGCAAGTATGTCCTTACTGGTTGTAAGAAACTCTCTTTCTCCTTTATCTTGCTGTGCACAATCAAATTTTTTGATAGGAGGTGTGCGAAATATTCATGCTAAAAACACTAATGCCAAAATATGGATTTAAAAAATATAACCATGAAATAATAGTGATAAGAAAGCCTAGATATGATGACTTGGAACTGGAATTACAGCAGCATCTGAGCATGAGATCTGAATTCAGTTTAGCTCTGACATCAAACTGTCTGCATTATAGACATGTAATTTCATGTACTGTCACACCCCATCTCCATCTCATGCTTTCTGTTTCATCCTATCCACCTGTTTCACCCATTTAGAATAAATGTTTTTGGGGCAATAGCTCATTTCATAGATGCCTTCATGTTAAACAGACCAAATTGTATTGGTCCTAATCCTAATTACAATATTACAACTAGGGAAAGGATAACTCACATCCAAATAATAAAGGGGTAAAGTATAATGAACCTTAAAAGGTCATTGGTGATTCATACAGAAGGAGAGAAGTTCTTTAGAAGGCTGAAACCAGAATTACTCATCAGGATGGTGGGATTTGCTTTAGCCCCAAAAAAGAAATCAAAGCAAAATCTGCAACCGGATTTTAACTACAATACCAGGTCTGTGGAATTCAGACACTTCATTCAGGCAAAATTTAATACCAAAGGTCTCGTAGGCTGGATCAACTAAAACATTGATACTAAAACAGGATAGAAATTACTGGGTTTAGTATGTATGAAATTAATAGTTCACAAAAAATTAAAGCAGAGAGTTCTCTTGTGTGACTGTTTATTTCTTTGTCGTTTTGGCAACCTAATTCCTGAGGCTGGATACATCAGATTATCAGTGAATATTTAAATGTAATGAACATGACAACAATAAACACAAGCTTACAGTTCAGAGAATGATCTAAGATGAACTTAAAACCTTTGCTTGTAGGATTGAGAAAAAAGGTTGAAATCTGTTGGGAGTTTGCCTTATGGCTTGGAAGAGGGAAATGGACTTCCAGAGCACTATATCATTATTCCTATTGCTCTCAAACCCAGTGAATATGAAGAAAGAGACTTTACTTATGTGCAGAGTGAAATGTGATACACAGTGAAGGCTCAGGTCTGAAGGATGCCTATCAACTTCTGTAGTTCCACTGGGCAGTGGCCCGTCAATCTTTGCACAAAGTGTAGTAGCAAACAGTGTTCTTATACAGTAGTCCTTTACAACAGAATAAAGGTATCTTGCCTTGGCCTTGCTGAGTATGAAAATGACCAAAACTCAACCTGTGATAGACAATTTTCTTATATGTTGCCTAGTCAGCAATCAGAAAATGCTGTTTGTTAAACAAGGTGCTTTTTTTGATGCTGCCTCTTAACCTAAGCATTAATTGACCTTGAATCCCAAAGTGAGTCTCTAATTGCTGTGTGACTGCGTATCTGCTGTCAATAATTCTGAATGATTGACTTCAATTTCTCACTGCTTGAAGTTGTGCTTTCTTTTCCCCTCAAATGTCCTTTTGTTCTGGATGTCCTCATGTTCCTCCAACTGTGTGGTCTCTCCTTTATTTCACTCCAGCAGCTGCTTTGGCATTCTGCGTCTTCTGTTTCAGATACATGAGTGGCTCTGCACATTTGTATTGTGAATATCATGGCTTCAAACCCTGAAAGACTTTTATGTCCCAAAACATTCTCTTTGCAGATTTTATCCTGCCATCTGATGTGCAATATGGCCCACAGATGGTACAGATGAAACCACCCTACATGCTGTAAATGTTGATAGTCAAAATAAGAAGTTAGAAGAAAACATATAATTAATGTCTCTTCCTTTTCAAAAAATCAAAACAAAAATAAGTCCAAATAGTAAAAGAGTTACTGCATTAAAGCTACCAGAATAATTCTCAGTCATTCAGTACATATCTCTAATTAAATTCAAACACAAATTTCGAGGGAAATCTAGACTGCAATTACTGGGATCAATTTAGATATAATTAAGTAATCTGAGTTAGAGTTATCATAAGCTATAGCATAGTATTATACAGGAGCCTTGATATGCTTTCAAATCTCTCACAAACCTTTAATAACCATAATAGTTACTATCTAAATGTGTCCAGAGACACATGATAACATTATCTCAAAAGGACTGACACTGACATTACTTAATTTGATTACATTTGTGTGTAATATCAATAGCAGAGTTGACATACACAGCATAAAAATGTACTACCAAGAACTGGCAAAGTGACAAAGTTTGATCCTGAAGCCTGACCTGCTTTGGTAAACTCTCTTAAACTCTGATTCAACTAAATTTTTAGCTACCTGTTAAGGGTCATATTATTGGCAACTTTATGAATGCAGAGATACCAAGATGTTTAGGCTAATGGAGGTAGCATATCTTCAGGTAATCCATGGCAGAAGCCCAGCTCTAAGCGATTCAAGCATGTGAATAGCCCTCTCAAAGACAACTGATGTAGAAATTCACACAAAATTTGCATGAAATCAGAATCAAAGTAGCCAGTGAACAACCCAGTTACAAAGCCTTATTTGGGAGATGTCTGGGTTTTGAACATTAAATGAATTTAGCCTTTTTCTGCCTTGGCTGTAGCCATGAGTTCCAGAACTTCCTTACATTTATTCTCCTGCCGCAGTTGTTCTCATTTCTGGACCAAGCAGCATTTTTGCAGTGCCATACTATAGCTGTGCCACCTCTACTTCCTCCAATGGGTATGGACAGTTTTTTTCCCTCCCACTTTTTGATGTGAACGATGCTGGAACTTAGTGTTTTAACCAGCAAGTACAAAAGAAAAGGATGTGAGAGAAGTACTGGACTTCTTTTTCTCTGTGTCACACTGCAGCAGGTTCCTGTCAAAGAAAATGAACACATACTACCACTTTTTTGTCACTGTACTTTTTTTTTTTTCCTCAGGTGTTGAAGCAGAAAGATAAAACACTTTTATCATAGCATAGGATTGAGCCCTATGGTCCCAAGAGATGAGAAAGGCTTTTTGAAAAGCTCTTGAGAAATATGTCCTGTGAAAAGCAAAAAGGGACATAGCTCATACACTTGCTTAATCAATCCAAGGCAGAAGAAATGAAATGCAAAACATTTTTTTCCCCAGTTCAATGGATGTTTACCTTCAGAGCACCTGGCTATTTTTCTAGTCTCCTTCCCATGCTCCTGAAAAGCGACCTTCATCTACACACCAAGAATCCGAACCCGCTTCTTCCCCACCCTCTTGGACACAATTTACAGATCTAAATGTTCCAGTTCCTTCCGTTTCCAATCTCTCCAACACAATCAGACCCTCTCATCTTTACCCACCTCAATTAAATATCAGACACAGTATCAGTTCAATTTAATATCAAACACAAATATACACAGAGCGCCCTTTTCCTGTTGGCCTCCAGCAGCCTCCTAACATGCTAAATCCCTTCAGCTTCTACTTCAGCACCCCTGGACCAGCTCCATTGCTAACTAAACCCAAACAAACCTCCCGCCCAAATTTCAGCTCTGCCCACAGGTCTGACCACCGTGCACTGCAGGGCCGTCTGTCACAGGGCAGATGGCACTCCCAGTGCCATCTTCTGCCCTACCGGCCGCCGAGCCATGCTGAGTATCCGACAGGGTTTTGACATTTCCTAGCTTGGCTCCTCTCTGTGCTCTTTCCCTCACAGAATGGAAGCACCCCAGTTCGCTCCGTCCTCGGGGAGTCTCTGCCGCTCCGCCCCGAGCCTCACTGCTCTCCACCTGCCTCCTCCCCATACTCATGTCCACACTAGCTCCCGTTCCATCACCTCAGACCCCGACACGAGGCTGGCACCCCCTTCCCAGCCCCGCCGCCCTGGGGCACGGCCGGGGACGCTGCCGCCGGACACCCCGCACCTGAGCGCGGTACTCCCGCGGCCACCGCTCGCTCCCCGCGCCTGCCGCCCCCCGACCCCTCTCCTCCCGCTGACAGAGCAGGAGGGGCGGCACCTGCGGGTCCGCCCCATTCTCCTCCCCTCGCCTCCCCTCCCCTCCTCTCGCCGAGAGAGAGAGAGAGACCGAGACCCGGAGGGGGAGAGAGAGAGAGACAGTGGCACCGAGGGCGCCGGGAGGGACTGCCTGAGCGCAGTGCTCGGCGTGAGGGGAGGGAGGGGGAAATTAAAAAACCAAAACCAAACCCCCAAAATTTCAAATATTTAAATTTAAACAAAAAAGTGAGAGAGGTGTAGAAGGAGAGTGCTTCAACTTTTTCTCTCTCTGCCCAGCAAGGTAAGGGAGCGGCACGGGGCTTTGCTTCGCTTTCTCGCCGGTTTCTGGGAGGGCACAAAGGTAGCGGGATGGGGCGGCGGCGGCATCTCCGCTGGCGGAGCCGCGCTCGGCGTTGTCACCCTGCGGAGCGCAGCCCCGGGGGCGGCGGCGGCGGGCTGCGGGCTGCCAGCGGCGCGGCGGGCAGCACCCGTGTCACCCGCGGGCTGCGGGCGCCCGCCCCTGGGTGGGCTCCAGCCCTTTGTTACCGGCGTCTTGGATCGGGCCGGGGGGGAATAACCCCAGCGGATGGGGCAGGGCGGGGGTGGAAGAAGCTTGGGCAGGGGGCTGCGGGAGCAAAACACCCGCCGTGGCCGGGCGGGCGGCCGCCGGCAGAGGGGGCTCGGCCGCCTCGCCCTCCGCGGCCGCGGGGGCTGCGCCCGGGCGGGGAGCCGCGGGACGGGCGTGTTTGGGGGCGCTTCTGGACGTGTGCGGGCCGGGTTTGAGGAGGGAGGGGAGGATGGGGCGCCGGCCCCCTCGCGGGGTGAGGGGCTGTCGCTGTGGCGGGGGCACGGCCGTGTCCCCGGGAGACGCGGCGGCCCCGACGCGCGGTGGCGGCCGCGCTGCCCCCGGGCCGTGCCACCGGCGGCCCGTCCGTGATGCTGCCACCGCGGGGACAGCTGACCGACACGGCTCCTTTGCTGTTGTGGAGTAAGGGTAGAACGGGGGAAAAGCGGCTGGGATGAAGCCGGCAGCGGGTCCCCGCGGCAGCTGGCAGATGTACACCGGGGCCTTTGGGTACCGCCGGGTCCGGCCCTTCTCTCCCGGCGCTCCCCGAAACCTCCGAAAAATGAAAACTTTGTGTACACCACAGGATTTCGGCCAGCTCAGCGGGTGGGCCAAGCATTGCTGTTTGCTTAGGCCCCAAGCCTGCAAATATTTATCCATATTCTGAAATTTAGGAATTATCAATGGTTAGATGTGTTTGAAGTGCGGGAGACTCTTTCAGTAACCCCGTGGAAAAATATTTCCCATGTGTGCTGCTTGTCAGCATGTTTGCTTTGAATATGCTCAAGATAGGACCTTTTTTTACATTATTCCATTTGCCTTTCTTTGAATTGGTGCCTCTTCAGACTTTTCCACTGAATGATACTTTAAGTATTATTGAAATAATACTTCATATTCTTCATACTTAATTGATACGTTGTTACAGAGAGCTTTTTAAAATATGGAAATAAAAAAGCTGCTGAGAAGAAAGTGTTGTGTCTTATTGCCTGACTAGGAATTACTAAAGCTTTATTTTTTAATTTTTTTTTTTTTTGCAATTGTTACTCTTGTTTGAGAGGTGAAGCATAGTTCAGTTGCAGGGATGGTTATATATGTGGCTTCTAAGACAGGTAAAGCTTTCAGCACTTTAAATACTGTAAGGCACACCTAAGTTTGGTTTTTATTAAGGGATATGCCCTCTAAAGAGATGCAAGGATGGGTCTTAGCTTGATTGAAAAACTTATTACATATGTGCTAGTGGATTAAAAAAAATCTTTACAGATTTTAAACATTATTCTGTTGAATTTGCTTGTGAGTACAACAAAAGCACTTATGAAGCTGGAGGATTAGCTGGTTAAATACCTCTTTGCAAAGGAATAGGGATTGTGTGAGTATCCTCAGAGCTGTTGAGAAATATTTACTTATTTGTCATTATTAACATTGATGGATTTTGTACATATGCATACTTTTTCTCATGTATTCTCAAGTATTCCCAACAAAATGCTCCAGAAAGTCAATGAATAATGCTCAATATGTGCCTACCTGTTTAAGTGATTGGGTTCTGAGCCCTGAAGGTTTAATTTAACATCTGTAAATACAGATAAAAAGTACAGTGTTTATTTCTGCTTACTGTTAGTAGTGTTGGTGCAAAACAATTTTTTTCTAAGGTGTTCAACAGGAAAAAAAAATTAGCTCTAAGTAACAATTTGTACATACTAGGAATTTTTATTGGTTGGGTTTGGCTGTAGATAATGTAGCAATCATAAATAGTGAGGATTTTTCTGTAAGACAGTTTTTAAGTCTGGGATGTAATACTAAAGGAAATAAGTAGTAATAGGCAAGCTGATTACTGAGCTTTTACTGGGATAATTAAATTGCGTGAAGTTTCTTAAGATCACATGAGCACATCACAGATGAAAGGAGAGGTGATCTGACTGTGTGAAAAGTTTGTCTAGAATTCAAAAAAAGCACATTTGGTTCAAGGTCTTCTGAAACACATAGCTACCAATACACATATTGGTATTTGGCAGTTCAACAAGTCATATCTTAAGTATTTTGCAGATATAACATAAAGAAAATTTGGAGTCCAATTTAGGAGACTCTAATTAGTTGCTATGGGATATAGAGAATTAAACTATTTTTTTAAAGGAAAAAAGTCTTGTGTACCTTGAAGCCAGTCACACTATGAATGCTGGGCTGTTTATTCAGTGTAAAATTAGATTCAGTATGATGTCAAAAATGTACTCTAGGAAACCTTTTAGTGAAAGCTGAAAAAAAAAATTGAATGCTTTTCTCTCTAATTTTCAGTACTTCTAGGAAATTTGGAGTGGGCATAGGACTGTAAGGATTTTACTTTCTGTGGCGTAATCAGTTTTGTAGTACTTTTTATATTAAGCATATGGTTTTTAAAAGTGCTTTTTTTGCTCTGTACGGTTCTGTACCATATGTTTTGTATTTAATTCTTTGAATGACCACTGAAACACAGCCAGTTTTGGGTAAATGTGGCAACTGTTAACTAGCGCTTAGCAACAGTGCACAATAATCAAGACGGGAAGTGAGGAAGAATGCCATGTCTAATTGAAACTGTGGGGGGCATTTAGCTGGGTAGGACATAATTAACAAAACATGGGGCTTGGACATGATATTAAGGCATCACATCTTGACTCTTGCCAAAAAAGGATTGTGAAATTGACAATGTAAAAAAAAACATTTCAGGTATTTCGTTTTACACCTTGGAAGAACAGCCTCTTTGAGAGGTATGTGCTTTGCCTATTCTTGTATAATAATTTCTTGCATGCAATGCAAAAGATGCATTTTCTTTTGTTTCTAAAACATAATTGTGAGCAGGAGAACTGTTGGGAAAACCAACAAATGAAGGAGTAATAAGCCTTGACATTCTGACAATCATGTCTTTTACAAAATTAGTCCTGTGAACTGGAGTTCATTAGATACAGTAAGCAATTAAGTGATCTCTAATATCCTGAAACAGATTACAGCAGCATCATAAAACAACACTAAACTTTTACAACTAATGTGTTGCTATTTTCTTTTCGGAATTGTTGACTTTCCTCAAATCCTGTCTTGTCATTACTTTCCTTAATATGTTAAGAAAAGTATTGCTTGTAAGGATATGTGTTCAAAATGCTTTTGCCTAATGTAGTTTCAGGCTTTATTTTAAAAAAATTCCAGACCTGATCATTTTGTTTCATGCTGTATTTTGTGTGGAGATACATTAATGGATCAATTTTATTTCTTATATAACCCAAAAGCATCTAGTTTCTAAGAACTCTGAAGATATCCTCACATAATAAAGAGAGACCTAGTGAATAAAGCTGCAGTGAGTCATTGCAAAAGCTAATCTGTAACTCTGAGCAAGCTACTATAGCCTCTGTTAATGGATTTGAATTTGCAGGTAGGTAGTGAGAATGACCCGAAACCAAGGAGCCATTTTTTGAAGGTGTGTGTATTGGTGAACTATCCAGTAGCATTAAGCTCTTAATAATTAAACAGAATCATTAATGTTTTTAGAATCTGGAAGTAAAAAACACAGGATATCTGTTGGAGGAACTTGTAAATGACAAAAATTTGGAACAGTGTTTATTTACAACGGGGACAGCTACAATTTGTACACTGTTGTTGGCTTGGAAGTATCAAACAGAAATACAGAGTTCTTACAGAAATTATAGGCTGGATTGATGGGCCAAGGCCAATTGTATGAGGTTTAATGAGGTAAAGTGCCAAGTCCTGCTCTTGGGTCATGATAACCCCGGGCAACACCACAGCCTTGGAAAGAGTGGCTGGAAATGTACTCGGTGGGCAAGGACCCAGGGGTATTGGTTGACAGCCAGCTGAACATGAGCCAGCGTGTGCCCAGGTGGCCAGGAAAGCCAGCAGTATCCTGGCTTGTGTCATTTACTGTGGCCAGCAGGACCAGGGCAGTGATTGTCTCTCTGTGTTCCGTACTGGATGAGGCTGCACCTTTAATCCTGTGTTCCATTTTGGGTCCCTCAATTCAGGAAGGGCATTAGATGCTGGAGCATGTCCAGAGAAGGGCAACGGAGCTGATGATGGTTCTGAAACACAAGTCCTATGAGGAGCGGCTGAGGGAGGCACGATTGCTTAGCCTGGAGAAAAGGAGGCTCAGAGGGGACCACCTTGCTAGATGGGTGTTGGTCTCTTCTGCTGGGTAACAAGTGATAGAACAAGAGGAAATGGCCTCAACTTCCTTGAGGGGAAGTTTAGAATGAATATTGGGAAAAATTTCTGCATGGAAAGGTTTGTCCAGCCTTGTAACAGCTGCCCAGGAAAGCTGCTGAATCAACAGCCTTGGAGGTATTTAAGAAGTGTAGTCATGGCACTTACAGACATGGTTTAGTGGTGAACTTGGCAGTGCTGGGTTGATGCTTGGACTCAATGATCATGTAGGCCTTTTTTGATCTAAATCATTCTATGATTCTGTGATTCTGAAATGTAATTAGCTTTGGTTTGGATGACTGCTGAAGCCTGGTGAGCTGGTTTCTGTTGTCTTATTGTGTCACACAATAAGGTCACAATTTCTGTGAAATTCTTCTGGGACATGAGAGACCATAGAGGATTGTGTAAATTATTACTTTCATTGAAGTGTATTTAATGTTATTCTCATTGAGTTAGCCTTTTAAGTTCCATGGCACTTCAGATGTTTAGTAAAAAACCTCCATATACTTGACCTGAAAATCTTGCATCATATACTGTCAAATGCTTTGGTTAATTTGCATTTA